TTTTTGAATTCTTTTGATCACTTTTTCTCTGCTATATTCATAGTCGATGTCTATTTCTATCTAGCTATTTCCATTAATAAATTTTTCTTATACTGACTTTATGTATTTGTCTCTATTTAATATTCCTTCTATATTTGTAGTTTTTATTTCAAAAGAATCACCAGATACTTTGAATACAGGTAGTGTTTCTATGAACTAAACTGAACTGAACTTTTGGTTAAGTTCAAGTTCAGTTCAAATTGAACTGAACTTAAACTTGAATTTTTTTTAAAAAAAGTTCAGTTCAGGTTTAATATTAAACTTTTAAATCAAGTTTATATTCAGTTCAGATTCAGTTTAAAAGTTTACGAACATGTTCAAGTTCAATGAATTATATATATATAGTATATATATATATTATATATTGTCAAAAATAATTTACTTATAATAATAAGCTATTTTTTTTTTTAGAAGAAAAACATAAAAATTTTTTAGATTTAAAAATAAGCTATTTATATAATTATTAGAAGTTACTCTATAGTAAAGTCAAAATTTTACTAAGTAAATCGATCTATCTTATTAAGTAAAAGTTGTTTAGAAGATCAAAATACATATATTTTAAAAATATTATATAAATTGAATAACTTTTTATTAATTGACTTTTGATTTTTATATTTGATTAATATAAATTTAAAAAAATTTTAAAAAATTCATTAAATGTAATATACAAAAATATATTAATAAAAGTTTATCTAATTTAGATAAAACTTTCAGAATATATGTTTTGATCTTCTAAACAACTTTTATTTAATAAAGTAGATCAATTTACTTAGTAAAATTTTGACTTTACTATAGAGTAACTACTAATAATTATATAAATAACTTATTTTTAAATTTAAGAAATTTTTATATTTTTCTTCTAAAAAAAAGAAAATAGTTTATTATTAAAGATAAATTATTTTGACAACATTTATAATTCATTGAACTTGAACATATTTATGAACTTGAACTGAACTAAAACTTTAAGTTCAGATTTAGTTTAAGTTCATAAATTTAAAGTTCAGTTTAGATTCAGATTCAAAAATCAGCAAAATTTAAAATGCAGTTTAGGTTTAATTGAATTTGAACCTGAACCTAAATTGAACTAAACTTCAAAACACTAAATGCAGGTGCTTTAGCACAAAATAATTTATTACCTTCGAATATTCTGTTATTTGGTAACCAAATATTTTGTTTAATCAAACCACCTGTTTCAAAGAGATCTAATTTCTGCTTAAAAGGCTCTATTATTATGGTTTCATTTTGTTTATGATTTATGTTTTGTTTAATTACATTAACCAAAATACTGTCTATCGACACCTTTTTGTCTTTTTTAATTTTTTTTACTTTTTGATATGTCTGTGCTATCATTTTTAGCTACAGAATTTCTTGAAGATTTTTCTTTTGGGATGCATATATTGTTTATTTGGTTTTACTGTTTAGGTTCGATTTTTAAATCTTGTATTTGTTCTACAACTATATTTATATCTTCATATACTGGTTCTTCTTCACTTTGCCTTTGCATTTTAGGACTAGTTATTTAGTTTATGACAGAGTGAGTTTTTTTTCTATTTTATCTATCTTGTTCTTTTTTTCTTAGTTTTTCTCCTCATTTATGTTTGTTATATACTCAATTAATGCTGGGTTGTTTTTTGCAATCTTGGTTTTTTTGACCCATTTTTTAATTGTATCTTCTTGAAAACAGAGATCTGCCTCTCTCAAGATATCTTTTACTTGTTTGTATAATAAAACTTCATCTACCATTACACGATCTAGATTTCTTATTACTAAATTTTTGGCTAAGTTGTCTATATCATCTGGTTCCATTGACTTGTATATTAATAGAACTTCTATTAACTTGTTATTATTTATATATCTAAGAATTTTTTCACTTGCTCCATGTATGTATGCCAATAAACTAGACATAACTGGTTTTGTTGCTTCGATTTCTATTTGTTTCTAGAACTTTCTAAATTTCTTTTTTAAATTTCTTTGTTGTCTTCTGAAAAACTACATGTTATAATCTCTTTTTATTGTTAATCATTAATTATTAGTATTTCCTAGAATAAAATGTAATTGTTTGTTTGTTTGTTTGTTGTTGCCACCTGTTGTTGTTTTCTAAAATAGAATGTGTCTACTTTGTTTGTTGTTGTTTTGGTGATTACTTGTTCATGTGTATTGAATTTACAGGGTTTAGAATGAATTTCCAAATTCCCCAATTTTTTTTGTCAAAATTTTCAAAAAATATTATATTTCTTTGAGTTCGCTTGTTTTCAAATTCTTGTATTAAAAGACTTGAGATGTTTTTTGTGCTGAGTCTTTTTTCTTAATATCACAAGAGATGTTTTCTATGTCGATTGTTGATAAAATCTCTATTCTTTGTTTTAGTGAATTTTGGAATTGATGATTAGCAGAAAGAGTTGTTTAATACATAAATAATTTAAAATAATAATATATTTGAGTACATATATATAATAGATTACTCAAAGCATGGCTTTGCTATGTACTCACCTATATATTTTCTATATGATTTATTTTAAAATTTTTAAAATCATAGCTTTGCAATTTAAAAAGTTAAAGGGAAGTCTGTTTCCCACGACCAGTCCTATAATATTATTTGCCAGAAGTTATTCTATGAAACAAAATTTAAAAAAACATACACTCTCCCCAGGCTATCGTTTCGAAAAATGCTTATTTTTTCTAACGACGTATATAAATTCTTAATTACTTTTAATCTTTGAAATATTCGACTTCTAATAAATGCAATATTATCATGATTTAAATTTTACCCGGAATTTTTTATGGACTTATGGTTTGTTCTAAAAACATGAGCGTTTCCTGGAAAAAGTCGGAATTTGATTTTTTTTATAGTGTTATAAAATATGTTTAGAACCGGTTGTAAGAATTAATTTTTTTATATTTCTCAATATATAAATTGAAAATTTTTAATGTCATGGTAAAAGAACGGTATGAACAAAAAAGATAAAAAAAAATTTAATAAAGAGTGAAATCGTTAGCCATGACGAGTCAAGTGACGCGGGTTTTTTTTGGCCAGCATTAAGAAATTATATTGGCCAAAGTGTGCACGCTTAGATGTTGAAATCTTTAGGCAAAATTAATTAAAATTAAGAAATTAAACCAGCAAAATTAAGAAATTAAACCTGTGAAATACGAAATTAAAAATTAAAACTGTCAAACTTTTCGATAATTTTGACACGTTTTTTTTGTGCATAAATACATTTAAACAAAAAATGAGAATCATTAATATGTGAAAATAAAGTCAAGGAATCAAGGGAAGCAATTTATTTTACAAAATTATTTATATTAACATTACATTTATAGTCTTAGCGTTAATCATTAAATCGAGTTAATTAAAATCTATTTTTTTTTCCTTTTTTTTTTTTTTAATGCAAATCAAAATATACATTCATTAACTGAACACAGTATTTTATGCACATAATTATTCCCAAATGTAATGCTTTAGTAAAAAAAAATTTCTTTTTTTTTTTTAACATAAATATACATATGGTATATATTGAAGATTTAAGTGTGAAAATTTCAAAAAGCATATAAATTCGTGTTAAGTTAAAAAAAATTATACTGTACAGTTGTAAATTTAAAATGTAATCGGTGCGTGTTAAATCATAAAAAGTGATCAAAAAAAATCGATATAAAAAATTGGACATTCGGAATAGTTTTTTTTTTTAAAAAAAATAATGTTATCCTATAGAATAAATTCCTAAAGGAAACATGAATTGAAAATTATATTCACAAAAAATTTTATGCGTCGGGAGGGGGGTTATTGTGCTTGGAAGTGCGATGTTGTAATAAAATAAATAAAAAAAAAATTAAAACAGAACATCCTTGGATGTACTGTTATCTTGTGGTTTATGTTTAAAAAAAAATATATATATATATTCACATTGATAAATAAAATCATAACCTTTTAACTCGATCAAATATTAATCGTTTAGCAAATTGAACCAAAAACCAAAAAAAAAAAAAAAAGTCGTAGCGAAATAATGCATTTCTCAAATTGACAACTAACGAACTTTGCGTTCAGAAGTTTTGGCACTATATGGATAATCAATAATCCTTTTCTATTTTGTTAAAATTTTGGATAAAAAAAAAAAAATAAATCATATATTCAGAATCAGAATCTTGATCCTCGGTTACCCGTGTTACCATTGTTTGAACCACTAGTTCCAAAGGATCGGTGCCTTATTATCATTCCAGAACGCGGAGAATAATTGCCATTTGAAGATATCATATTATCATTCTCGCTTGATAGTGCCGGTTGCACCATTGGATACACTACTATTGACTGAGGCAAAGTTGAGGGAGTGTGCATAATTTGCCCAGTAGTATGTGCACATTGAATATTACGTATATTATGTTTAGTAGGAGTATTGGATGATGATACATTTGAAGGTTGAAATGTACTGTAACCAGGTGGTGAATCCAAAAGCTGTATTTTTGTCTGATCACCATTAGAAGAAAATGAACCAGATGAATGTTTTAAAACACCATAATTTTGTGATTGTTGAACATCACTAGATCGATTTTGTGAATTTAATTGTTGTTCATCACCCGAAAGTCTCCTTTGTCTCTTTGGTAATGCACCAACCATTTGATGTCGTTCAGTGAATCCGTTGGTGAATTGTGAATTAGATGTCGATGATGATAATACCGGAGTAGAGGCAGGAGTATTACCATTTTGAGTTCTCGAAGTCATTGAATTAGACAAAGACATTCGCTTGCCTATAACTCCCATGCTCGCACCACCCGGGCCGAGTTGTACTGGACCTTTAACACCTTTAGCGGGATTTTTACCAGCAGCAACAGCACCCCCATTACGATTACGTTTTTTAATAGTATCTGTTTTAAGACTTAATGGTCTAACAACACCATGAAGTTTAAGGAATAAACCACAAGCATTGCATAATGGTTGACCTTCAGGATTACGACGCCATAAAGGAGTTGTTTGGGTATGACAATTGGTACAAGTGGTCGACATAGCATTTTTAGAAGAATTACCACTATTACCATTAGTACTATTATTTCCGCAATTATTACCATCTTTAGATATTGGGGGGGAAGGAGGAGATTTAGTAATATTAGAAGTAGAATTTGAGGAACTATTTGTCGGAATAGATGACAATGACGTGCGAGAAGACGGTCTTTGTCTTTTACAT